CTTTCTTGCCCTCTAGAACTGAGCTTCCTAGATGGTTAGCTACTAGCCACGTGTAGATTTTTTAATTTAAGCTAATTAAAACTAAATAAAAAGATTAGTCCTCAGTCACCTCTAGCTATATTACATGCACTCAACAGCCCCATTAGCTCCTGGCTACCATTTCGAACAGTGCCAATGTACACTTCTATCATCACAGTAAATTGAATAGTGCTGGTAGAAGATCTGTCATTCCTGAACCACAGTCACAATAGTTCCAAAAAACCAATATTTTTCCCAAATGCACCTATAGCTTCTAGCACTTATCTAACATTTTATTTAACCTATTCACTGTAACTACAAATACGTGATTCACTATAAAAAGAAAATACCTTTCTTTTTAGAAAAGTTGGCCAGGGCAGGAGACTTGCAGATCTGTTCACGTATGTCCTACGTATATTATTTCGATGGTCTACATTTTGTGACTACAGTGCTAAGACACTTTTGGGATTAGTATACCAATAACTAAAATATGAAGGCATGTGTTCTAAAATTTTTTATAGCTAATAAAATTAAGAGAAAATTTTAAGACCCTGCCTTACAAAATAACTGTTTACTTTTTAAATCAACTAAAAAAATGAGACTATCTTCTAAACTACCAGTGCCTTGGAAAATGCTGCTCTAGATATTTCAAATTTATTTAGTTGATTTCAGAATTGTATGCTCTCCTTTTGGCTTCTCATAGAGCATCCTTTAGCAAACTATACAGTATGTCACCACTGCTGAGGAAGTGGTTCACTTACTTCACGTGACAGCTCTTCTTTGTAAGGGCCCATAAAAGAAATTTCTCTAGTTGGTTTTACAATATAAACAATTTGATCATGTAACTATCATGTTTTCTTGTTTATTTTGCCCACAGCAAAAGCAAAGCCAAATCTGTGGCCCACTTCTAGCATCAGGTTGGGAACTTATGGCATGTGTTTTAGGTACCAACTTCATCTTATTTTTGGACCTTAATTTTACCATTAAAAACTCTTGTATATATTTCTAAAAAAGTCTCGATTTTTTTTGAAAAAGTTAAATAAAAAAAATGAAACCTGTGACTTAATTAGAAAATGAAGAGTTTATCTGTATTTTTTAAAATCCAGGTAAACAATGGAAAACAGACATATTTAGAATTTATATAATACTAATTACCCTTTCAATTTAGTTACCAATACTCATAAAACTTCATAATATGCTTTAAACATATCTAACGATATAAGAATTTTCAACAAAAAAAATAAGAGTAAAAATATAGATTAAAAATTATTTTTATTAATTTTTATTTAAATTTTAAAATTAAAATTTTAATTTTTATGATTAAATAATATCTAAAGGGCTATAAAACAGCCCCATAACTTAGTTGCAACAATTCTTAAGAATTAAAAAAGATTCCACATTCCATCTGTATAAAAATAAAATCTCTAATAATATGAATAAAATCTCTAACAGTATGAAAAAAATTCATTTTAAAAATTCACATTTTTGCATTTCTGCTAAATGCAAGACATTGGCCCTGAAGTTTGTAAAGACGAAGTCTTTGTCTTCCAAGAGCTTACAATCTAAAAGAAAAATGGACAAATATTTTACAACATGATAAGGGAAATGCCAAAAAAGAAAAATAAAATTCTAGAAGATGGAATAAGAAACTTTAACTGAGAGGTGGTACATCACTTTAATAGTGATATTTGAGTAGAATCATAAAAAGAGAAGCAGGGGTTTCATGGGCACAAAGTGAAAGTAAAAGTGTAAATAAGGGTCATTGTTGAGAAAGTACAAGGTTAACTGAGAGAAGGTAAGTGGACCTGTGTGACTGAAGAATGAGGTGGGGAGGTTGGGCAAAAAGGGTAGAAAGAGGGCAAAAATGTACACAGGAGCCCCATGGAGAAACTAATAGAGAAACTTGGAGTCAGAAGAACTGGGTTTAAACTTTGCCATCTACTTACTATAGCAACTTAGATAACGTGCTTACCCAGTAGTCTATGCTGTTTCTTGTCTAAAAATTAGAAATAACAGGAAAACTAGCTTTATCGGGTTCCTGTAAAAATTAAATTACTTGATAGCTATAAAACACTCAGCACTGTGATCAATATTAATTATTGATATATCCAAATAATTATTCTATATCCAAAGGTGAGAGACAAAGGGTCCCAGAGCAAGGCTGTAACATGATCACATCCGTATTTTAAACAGATAATGCTGACAGCACCTGTGTAGCAGGGACTGGAACAGGAACAGACCATAGCAAGCTCTAAGGAAGGCTGAAGCTACTGGTCAGGAAAGCGGTATCAGGATCTGGATTACACAGTAAGATGAAAAGCAAGACAAGGAACACTTCTCTCTAGAAAATATCTTTGGTAAATGACACGGATCATTAATACACCAGGTCCTCGAATAATGTTTCATTATGATGTTGATGAGATGCTGTAGGAACTTAACACTTGCTTATATCAATTAGCCTATGGCAAAATTGGTTTCGTTATATATCATTTCATTTAAAGTCACAGAACTTATGGATGACATTGAGGACTTACTACATTTAGTTTATTCCCCTAGGGCAGTGATTCTCAGTCAAGGCAATTTTCCTCCCCCAGAAGATATGTGGTAATGTCTTGAGACACTTTTGTTTGTTATAACTTGAGGTACTGGCATCCAGTGGGTAGAGGCCAGGGATGCTGTGAAACATCCTACAACTCACAGGACAGCCCACAGAACAAAGAATTGCCTGGCCCAAAATGCTGATAGTGTTGAAGGTGAGAAACACTGCTCTAGGGAATGAGAGTCAAGAGTATAGAGAGACTGGAAAATGTGTATTACTATATGCTTAAAATTAGACATGTCCATATTTCCTTTCCTAGCCTACCTCAGCCTTGATTAAAAGAAGAGGAAATGAAAGAACCAGCAAGAGCTAGCAAGGTAGAAGCAAAATAGGTCTTTCATTTGGTCCCTTTCCAAATCCCCCCAGGCTTTTCAGGATTTGCTTTCTACAGTGTGTGCCAATGACTCCTCTTGACTGCAAAATGAAGTCTTTTCCCAGTCCATATGGAAAATTAATAGAATTTCATTATAAAGTTATCAAATTCCCACCTCTTATAGGCTCTCTTTGCCCACTTCAGACTCTTTGCTTTTTGCATTAAAGATGGTTTCAAGAATAAAAAGAACAGATCATCTTATCTTTTGATAATCATTTTATAGAAGTTACTTTTTATGGCATTTACTTAAACATTTGTTATAAGTAAAAGGTTCCAATAAAATCCCTTCAAGTTCTTTATATGTGAACAGTTTATAAAGTTCATGTCATTAAAATTCTGTTAATAAAATGTTACATGAGGTAGAAGTTTTCAAGTTTTCAATTCTATGTGGCCAAATACAATTTTTATATGTTACTGAAGTAGCTTCAAAATTTAACATTATGTGAACAAATAATTTATCACTACACACTTTAAAAAGGAGTATAGGTTTTATTCTAAGTACAATGGGAAACCTCAAATAGTTTTAATGTACATTTAGTTTACTTTAAAAAAAAACACTTTTAATTGAAGTATGAGTGAATCTTAGAAGATAGATAACTACACACACACACACACACACACACACACACACACACACACACACGCAACCACCGCCCAGGTCAAGATACAGAGCATTCTCAGCAGCACAGCTTCTTTATAGCCACTTAATTTTAAAAGTTGAATACTAAAGTCATTTTTAAATCTGACATCAAATAAATCTTCACAGTATATCTTTCTAATAATCAGATCATAGTAAACAAGCTCCACAAGGACAAAGGCATTGTCTTTTCATGTTCCCTACTAAATCCCTAGCACCTAGAACTTAGTTTTTCACAGGCACTTACTGGAAAAAGCTGTTGACTATTGAGCAAAGGTAACTAATTTAACATCAATGTATTTCTAAGATACAAATATAATATTAATTTAACATCGATTTTTAGGAAAGTATTCAATTGAAGAGAAAATTTCAGTGACTCTGTTTCTATACACAGATTGAAGGCACTAGAGAAATTACTCATCATGGACTCTGAATTTATTCTGAATTGTCATCATTAATGTGTAACCCAGAATTTTCTGGATGACATACCAGAGGAGCCGCTTCATTTAACATTTGCCATTGCTCTTAGACACAAGCCAGAGCAATCTTTTTTCATATTCCTTCTTCCTTATTTTTATTAGTTCTGATTATCTTTCATTCAGACTTTCTGGAACTTTCCACCCTAGCTAAGGTCTTAAACTGAATATCCAGCAGAATTAAAAATAAATAAATAAATAAATAAATAGATAAATAAATAAAAAGGTCCAGTTTGAGCCTCCAGTTTAGTTATGGTTGCCTGATACTGTTTTGCCAAGACAAAAAAACGCAGGGATAGAGTGAAGAGTAGGGTGTCGCCCCGCTGCTGCAACACAGCTGTAGTAGAAAGAATAAGGCAAAAAAAACCCCGAAAAACAAAAAACAAAAAAAAACGATGACAACTGGTTTCTAGAAAACAAAAGATACAGCTGGAGATTTTGCTCTACTTTGGCAAGATCTGAAAATTATACCCAACCCATGTCTGCAGAGACAATGTATTCAGTCAAAAAATAGACCAAAAACACTCTTAAATAAGGATTCATAA